TAGGGGTGTCTGAAGGAGAAGAGGATGAGCAAGAAATGGAAAACTTATTTGAAAAAATAATGAAGGAGAACCCCAATGTGACAAAGGAAATAGACTTCCAGGAAGTCCAGGAAGCTCAGAGAGTCCCAAAGAAGTTGGACCCAAGGAGGGACACACCAAGGCATATCATAATTACATTACCCATGATTAAAATGAAAGAGAGAAGTCTAGAAGCAGCAAGAGATAAGGGGACAGTTACCTACAAAAGAGTTCCCATCAGACTTTCAGCTGATTTCTCAAAAGAAACCTTACAGGCCAGAAGGGGCTGGAAAGAAGTATTCCAAGTCATGAAAGGCAAGGACCTACATCCAAGATTGCTGTACCCAGCAAAGCTTTCATTTAGAATGGAAGGGCAGATAAAGAGCTTCTCAGACAAGGTCAAGTTAAAGGAGTTCATCATCACCAAGCCCTTATTTTATGAAATGTTAAAGGGACTTATCTAAGAAAAAGAGGATGGAAAATACAAATAGTAAAATGTCAGCAAACTCACAAGTATCAACAACTGAACCTAAAAAAACAAAAACAAAAATGAACTAAGCAAACAATTAAAACAGGAACAGATTCACAGAAATAGAGATCACATGGAGGGTTATCAGCAGGGAGGGTGGAGAATGGGGGAAATAGTACAGAGAATAAGAAGCATAAATGGTAGGTACAAAATAGATAGGGGGAGGTTAAGAATAATATGGGAAATGGAGAAGCCAAAGAACTTATATGTACCCATGGACATGAACTAAGATGGGATGATGGTGGGAGTGGGGGGGGGGACCAGGTGGAGGGGAATAAAGGAGAGAAAAAATGGGACAACTGCAGTAGCATAATCAATAAAATCTATTAGAAAATAAAGACCAAGAGGAAGCTCTATGTGTACCACACAAAACCACCTTCAAAAGACATTAAAAAAAAAAAAAGAGTATGGAGCAGAAGTGTAAGCAAAATGTTGACACATGTTTACAAATATGCTCTATGTATTTATACATGTGTTTGTGGGTGCATATGTAAAGCCTGTTTCTGAAAGAATAAATAAGTAATATGGTAACAGAGGCTACCTCTTGGGAGACACCTGGGGAAGAGGAGGAAAGAAGACTTATCTTTTATTCTGTACCCTGTTTGCTGTGATTGCTGTTATGGTGTGCATCTGTACTCATTCAACATCTACGAACAAGCAATACCTCCTTATCAGTACCTGAGAAGGGCCACTAGAACTTCAGAGTGAGAAAGGAAACATCAGGTGGTTGTAGATATAGAAATGACAGAGAGCAGATACTGGCAGCTCCAAGAAGGGATATATAGGAATAAAGAGCTAGTGGAAGGGAGTAGACAAAGGAGGGTGCTATAAGAATCCCAAATGCCTTCCAAAGGGGACTGAAATAAAGACTGCAAATTTTTTAAAAGTATACAAACAGCAGAAGTCCTTTCTAGTAAAATGTGAAACCTCAATATATAATAGATGAAAGAAGTATTTTATTATATAAATGTATTTTATAAACTCAAATTTAAACATTCTTTTAGGTCAAACAATGAGTACAATAATGCCCTCCTGAAAAACACAAACTTGAAATGGGGAGTATGGAGGAAAGTCTCAGGAAAACTTTAAATTCACAAAGGTGGCAAGAGAACCTTTACACCAATGTCTGCCCCAAAGAGAATCAACACTGCAGTAAAAGTGAGTGCACTGGTGATCTCCAGTGTCAAATCTGGTACATGACATGCTCAAGTGTTTTTCTTTTCATCAATCATAATCACTTTGAAAACGGAATTAAAAAATAAAATTTGAACCTAATGTTTGTGTCTGGGAAGCAATAAAGAACACCATTTCAATACCACTGGTCTGGAAAGATGTACATACAATGAAAACCTGTGAGATTTACTGAAAAGCTACTTTGTGATTCAATGGCTTAGTTAAGCTTAATTCTCAGATAAGTGCTGTTATCCTATGGCTCTTCTTAATCTTAGATAATGGTATGTTTCATATTAACTTTCCCAATGTTGATGACTGAACTACGATTATGTAAATGAATGACATTGTTCTTATAAGTATTAAAGTATCCAGGGCAAAGACAAGTGATGTCTCTAATTCTCAAATGATTCAGAAAATATATACATATACACACTCAGAATTGAAGAATCTGGAAAAGGGTTTGCTAATGAATTTCCATGTATTATTTTCCATAAGTTTGAGATTATATAAAAATAAAACAAAAAATTAAAACTCAGTTGCTAACATTTATTGATGTTTACTTTTTATAGGATTAAAGGAACTACCTCATTTAATCCTTTAAAAATTCTCTAAAATAGGTACGATTTTGTTGTTATTTTATAGCTATACATACAGATCATGGAAACTTTCCCCAGGGTCACATGGCTGAGTAGAGACAAGATTTCACCCTAAGTCTGTTCCACTCAGAGTCAAAGTTCCTAAATGTTGCCTAGAATGTCATCCTTACTGTGTAAACTTTCCCTCCCAAACTTATCACAGAAGCTACTATTGAGTTCCAAGCATTGTTATTTATTAAAACATCATAGTACTTATTCGCTTCCCAGGCCTCAGGGCATGAGAGAATCAACACTGAAGTCAAGGCTGGAAATGAAAAATTCATCAAAGCCATCAGCACCAACATCAAGAACCTGGAAATCACACTATAACTTTAATTTTCCTTTCAAAAACACAAAATTTGAAATGCAGTCAGTTCCTGTGCACTACATTTACTATTTTATACACACACACACACCTTTTCTTATCATTTTAAAAAATCCTCACCTGAGAATATGTTTATTGATTATAGAGAGAAAGGAAAGGAGAGGGGACCTGGCTGGCGTAACTCAGTGGATTGAGCGCGGGCTGTGAACCAAAGTGTCACAGGTTCGATTCCCAGTCAGGGTACATGCCTGGGTTGCAGGCCATGGACCCCCAGCAACCGCACATTGATGTTTCTCTCTCTCTCTTTCTCCCTCCCTTCCCTCTCTAAATAAATAAATAAATAAATAAAATCTTTAAAAGAAAAAAAAAACTTCTTGGTTTAAAAAAAAAAAGAAAAGGAGAGGGAAACATCAATCTGAAATAGAAACATTGACTAGCTGCCATCTGTTATGTTCCCCATCTAGGAATGGAACCTGCAACCTAGGTATGTGCCCTGACTGAGAATAGAACCTACAGCCTTTTGGTGTACAAGATGATACTTCAATCAATTGAGTACCCGGTCAGGGCTATATTTACTATACATAAAACTCATGCTAACGAGTTATCTTCCTCAAGGGGCTGAAAGCTCAATGCCAAGGATCTAGGCTACATGAACTTCCTGTAGCCATGAAAGCAATGTCACCATGGGCAGAGTACCAGGCAATGGGAATAGTCTTACTGAATGGAATGGGATGCTAGGACAGTCTTTAGAAAAACGTAAAGATCCTACTTACACCAATACAGGGGAAATGCATACTCTTTAGAAATATACACTAACTACTGACAGAGTCTCCTGGGGGAACTGTGTTTTCATCTGCCATCAGACAGATGTGATAGCATGATGTAACAGCCATGATTACATGCAGTTAGCTCCTTTTCCAGTCTTGAGAATAATGTAGGTAGAATTCTAACACCTACTACATAATACTATAAAGGACCCATTTTGAAGTCACCCTCAGCAAATAAGAACAGGTAAAAGAAAAAATAATTTAGTTATATAAAGTTCCTAATTCTGGTGAACAGTACAACATTAATGTCAGGCCATTACTTCTGAATTTCCAAACACTCAGGTATGTGTTTCCTACTTGGTATTAAGTTAAAATAATGACAAGTATATGAACTCCTGTATTTATAAAATATCATGTAATATAGACATAATGGGAATAAAATTTTTAACTTATTTCATTTAGAACTCTTCTATGCTTAGTTTATAACACTCCATTAAAGTCACTTTTAAGAGTGAGCAAACACAATAGAAATTATCTAGTAATTCTTATAGTGTGTAGTGTAAATAAAAGCAATCTTTTTTACTTATTCCTCAAATACCTGTTCACCCCAGTATTCTCTCACACTCATGTTATGTAACTAATATTTTTTCTGCCACTCGTTTCTTGATTTTTTATTTGACCTTTTGATTCAGCTTGTTGAGATAACTACGAATCTTTAGTGTGAGTTTATTAATCCTACTTTCCATACCTATACCTTCGCTTTGTTCAGTGGACCAGAGGCAGGTTCAGAGCCCTGGGGAAGACTAACTTCCCACCAGTGAATATTGATTAGTTAGTAACAACAACACTGGTAATAATAATTATTATACATAGACAATTAGTACATACTAAACATTAATATGTGTCAGGCACTGTTCTAAGCACTTTATAAGCAATTACCATTGAATGCACACAATAACCTTATGAGGTACATATTATTATGTACATTGATACATGAAACAAGGGAGACATTGTAAAGTTAATCTTCCAGGGTCAAAAAACCAATAAAGTGGGGCATTGGTTTTGACTTCAAATGGGAGTCCATACTTTTTAACAACTAGGACATACTGCCTCTCAGTTTGGATGCACATAAGTAATGAACTTCATTCCAACAGTGTGAAAAAATAGTTTAGACTTTTGTACTACAAGTTAATTCAAGCCCTGATCAACGTGGCTCAGTTGGCTGGACATCATCCTGCAAAAGGAAAGGTCACCAGTTGGATTCCCAGTCAGGGTACATGCCTGGGTAATGGGTTCAGTCCCCGGATGGGGCGCATATGAGAGAGGCAACTGATCGATGTTCGTCTCTCATACCAGTGTTTCTCTCCCTCGTTTTCTCCTTGCCTTTCCCTCTGTCTATAAATAAATAAATAAGTTAATTTAATAAATGTAAACTTTTTCTTCTTCTATTTTTTAAAGAATAAAGTTGTACTCTACTTAATGCTCAAGGAACAACTCCTTGGTGACACCCTTAGGCATCTATGTCTATAACTAAGTAGGACTGGTGCAGGTACCTGAATACGCTGAGGTGAGGCTACCGCAGAGTCGGTGGAGATTATCTGGATGCGTGGGGAGGGGCTGGTCATCCCTGGAGATTCCGGCCGAGAAGTCTGTGTACGTGGTACCTGTGGGTGAAAAGTGGTCTGGATCATAAGGGAGTTCAGAAAGTTGCCCAATGTGGTTGGAGAATGGTGCCTTTAGCTTCCCCCACCTCCAAACTATAAGAGAAAATTCGTTTAGAAAGTCAAAAGAAGTGGTGAAAGAAATGGGCTCAGGAAACGAATTACAAAGACAAAAGAAGAGGGCCCTTGGAGCTTAGGAGAGACAAAGATAAAGGTAACACACTTGTGGAGGAAGACAAAGGGAATGGGAAAGGTACAGTTGTGCTCCTGAGAGGGAGAGTGCATCACAACTTTTGCTTTCACAGTGGCATCATTATTATTAACTTTTACCCCAGGACATTTTTTTCATTGCTTTAAGAGACAGGAAGAAAGGGAGAGAGGGAAAGGGGTGGGGTGGGGATGGACATCTGTGCAAAAGAGAAACACTGATTGGCTGCCTTCCATATGCGCCTCAACCAGGAATAGAACCAGCAACCTAGGTATGGGTCCTGGCCAGGAATCAAACCCAAAACCTTTCAGTGTACAGGAAGATGCTCGAACTGAGTCACACTGGCTAGGACTCACGGTGGCTTTAAAGAAGTGATAAAACTAGTGTTCTAGAGTATGGAACCAATATGACAAAGGAATCAATGAGATATTGATATAGGATGGCGCAAAGAAAATACAATCGTAAAATAGCTTTCTAATGTTGTAAATACAAAGAAAAAAAACTAAGGAATTTTCAAGTCTGTTCTGCACAACTTCAATAAAAAAGCTACCAAAATAACTTCTTTGAAATGATATTTCAATGCCTCCAAAACCAGTTATAAAAACATTCCACTAAGATGATAGTTCTCAGAAGGAATTCTCTATAGCACTATAGAAGATGGCAAACAGAACCAGCATTACACTGAGAACTACTGGGACTGGTAACCTACCAGCCCCACTGGTACAGACCTTGGAAAAGCCCATCAGTAGTACAAGAATCTGGAATTTAGTCAATACCCACCAAAGCAAGGCTCAAGGTTCTGAGGGGTCACCTGGGCACCTGAACTGAGTAGATATTTTTCCTTGAATAAAAGTATACCATGAACCAATGCTTTATAAACTCTTCCCAAAAATAAAAAAAGAAGGAATACTTTCCAATTCATTCTATGAGGTCAATATTACCAAAGCCAGACTAAAATATCACAATAAAACTACAGACCAATATTCCTTATGAATATAGGTGGAGCAATCCTCAACAAAACACTATCAAACCTGATATAGAATCATAAAAGGTTATATACCATGACTAAGTGGGATTTATCCAGGAATGCAAAGTTGGTTCAACATAAATCAAAAACTGTAATACACTACATCAAAAGAATAAGAGGACAAAAGCCACATGATTATCTCACTGGACACAGAAAAAGCATTTGACAAATCCAATACCTTTCCATGGTAAAAACATTCAGCTAACTATGACTAGAAGGGAAGTTTCAACCTGATAAAGAGTAGACCTGGACAATAAATTGAGGTTAATTTTGGTCAATTTCAGCTCTTGGAAGAGCAGCAGCTATCCATCCCCCAACTCCACCCTGCAGAGGGCAGCTGTGCATTATGTTCCTATAGCAGTCTAACATAGTTTGTGGGAGCCAAGGGGGGCAAAAAGGACCTTGTCCTCCAGATATTGGGGAATCTGTGCTCTTAATTGCTGACTGCTGCTTCTGATCACAGAAGTGTAGACAAGGAGGCAATGATTGTTGTAGAACTTCCCCCTGTTTTTGCAAGCCCTTCATCTTTGGCTGAAGTGACTTCCAGGGGGCTTAAAAGGGCTGGATTGTTATTCTACACCACCCCATTTTTCTCTTTCCCCCCTTTTGGGAGCCAGACATCAAACACTAGGACATTCTAAAGCAACTGCATATATAGGAAAAATTAGAAATGCCCAGGGAAAAACAGGTTTGGAAAGGCCTTAGAAGACTTAAAGTTTCATGCCAGGACAATCCTTGGCACAGAGACAGCTCACAAAAACAATGATGATGACAATGACAACAATAACAAAGCCCAGCAAATCCTGGGAAAGGGAGAGACTCTGATTTCCAGCGTTATCACATTATTAAATTGAAATGTCCTGTTTTCAACAACAAAAAATCACAAGGCTTATTTAAAAAAAAACAACAACTCAGGAAATTATGACCCATTCAAAGGAAAAAGATAAACAAGAATTATCCTTGAAAAAGATATGACGTCAGATCTACTACACAAAGACTTTAAAACAACTGTCTAAATCAGGGGTGTCCAAATCTGTGGTCTGGATGGCTATGAATGGGGCCCAACACAATATGGTAAATTTACTTAAAATACTTTGAGACTTTTTTTGTACTTATATGTTGCAGTATCATGTAAAATAAATGTATGTACGCTCTCGTTATTGTACACATGCATGGCTTCAGTTTTATGGCAGTGTGCAGTTTCCAGTGTGTTACCTTCCAAGTGCAGACAGTAGAACTGACACCATCATGTGTTACATGTGGTGACTTAGCGAGGCAGTGATTATCAGAATTTCAACTGACCATTGCAATGTTAGGTGTTTTATGTTATTTAGAAGTCACATAAGCATTCTTATTGGATTATTAAAGAAAGGTACTTCTACACCTCGGCGGTGCCTTACACATCATCGCCTGCCACGCTTTATAATCAGCCCTTTGCCTCTCCCTGTATTGGCAGCCAAGAGGCTGTAGAAAGGCCCAAAACTTGCTTTCTATTTTCCTGTCAATTAATTTTCATAATAGAAATAAATAAAGTCTCTTATCTGTTATTATTTTTTAAATCCAAGCATGGTTTCTACAATGTCTCAAAAGAAAACAGAACCCCCTAAAAGAAAAACTGTGGATGAAGGAAGATTGTTTAATGAAAAGTGGACAGCTGAGTACTTTTTGTTGAGGCAGGTAGTAAGGCACTCTGCTTAATTTGTAGGGAATATGTGCAAGTTTTCAAAGACTATAATTTGAAAAGGCATTATATGCAAAAACATGCTGCCAAATTCAATGCATATGAAGTATCATGTTGTAAGGAAAAAACAGAGGAACTGAAAAAAGTCTGTCTTCTCAACAAAAATTATTTCAAAAAGTTACAACTCAGGCAAATTCTATTGTAAAAGCTAGTGAAGTGGTAGCATATTTAATAGCAAAAAAAATCAAAACCATTTATTGATGGCGAGTTTATTAAACAATGTATAGCAAGTGTGGCAGATACATTTGCCCTGAAAAAAAAAAAAAGAGGGATACTTCTAAAACCAGTTTCTCTTACTAGAATATAGTCAGGTGAATTGAAGAAACTGGAAAATTTATTAAAAGAAGTTTGGAGAACAAAGCTGCTAATTTTGAATTTTATGCTTTGGTGATGGGTGGTAACACTGATGCTATAGATATGGCTCAACTAGCCATTTTTATTAGAGGTATTAGTCACGAATATAATGTCACTGAAGAAACGGCTTCTTCAGTGCCATTGAAAGATACAATTAAATCAAGATTTACATGAAGCGGTGAAAAATACATTAAAGCAATTTTCTTTGTCCATTGTCAACATATCTGGTCGAAGTACTGATGGTGCCCTGATGAATAGAAAATGATGCAATTTCTGCCCCAAACTCACGTTTGATGAAGTATCACTGCACAGTACATTAAGAAAAATTATGTACAAAAGCTTTAAAAATGGGTAACGGCATGCAAATCATCATTAAGACTATACATTTCATAAGAGCCAAGGGACTGAATCATCACCAATTCCAGGAATTTCTTAAAAATATTAATGTTGACTATGGTGATATGATTCACTTTTTGGAAGTAAGATGGCTAAGTAGAGGACAAATATTGAAAATATTTTATGATTTGCAACATGTTATCAAGTCATTTTTGGTATCAAAAACAAATTTGTGTCAGAACTTGATAAAAAGTGGCTTACAGATTTAGCATTTTTAGTGGATTTAACTGCTCATTTAAATGAGTTAAACATACGTCTTCAAAGTAAAAACCAACTTATCAATACCATGTTTCAAACCATACAGCATTCCAAATGAAACTGAAATTATGGCAAGCTCAAATTAAGGCAAACAATTTTATGCATTTGACACATTGGCTAAACACAGTCCTGTAAACAGTGAAAAACATGCACCCTTGCTTTTTGATTTGGTGCAAGAATTTGAAAACAAATTTCAAGATTTCTGGGAAAATAATCAATATTTTGCTATATTTGCAACTTCATTTTCAGTTTATATAAATGTTACTTGCCAATTTTCAAATGCAATGCAAAGAGCTGCAATCTGAGAAACTTAAAGAAAAATTTGATCGTATCTCTTTACTGGGCTTTTAATAGGTACTATCTTGCCAGAGACAAATATCTCGTTTCAAAATCATGCCTTATTCTCGTCATCACTATTTGGCAGCGCCTACATTTGTGAACCACTACTTCAAGAATGAAACACATTAAGAGTAAAATTAGAACCAAAATATCTGATGAGCACCTTGAGAACTCACTGAGAACTGCAACTACTTCTATCAAACCAGATATTGATGCACTAGTTTCTCAAATACAACATCAAACATCCCACTAGTTTTATGTTGCCCTCTTTTCTTTTACAATAAAAAAATCAATGACATTTTAATTACTTAGATATGTACATATTCTATATTAGTGTTCACAAACTTGGGACCTGCTCAACGATTTTAAAAGATTACTGAAAGGGCTGCTGCATAATTAGGGTTATCACGTGAGGACCTTTTTGTTTATCTTTGGTGGCAGATATCACAGAAATTATGCACGTATCTTTTTTTTGCTCATCAGTTTTAGTGGATTTAATGTATGGCCCTAGACAATTCTTCCTCTTCCAGTGTGGCCTAAAGACACCAAAAGGTTGGACATCCCTGGTCTAAATGATACTCAAAGACTCAAGGAAGATGTGGGAAAAGTCAGAAAATAATGTATGAATAAAATATAAACTTCAATAAAAATCTAAAAAGAAAACAAAATTCTGACGCTGA